TTTATAAGGAGAGCATGTTTTTAGTAGATAAGTTCAAGGGCTTTGAATTAAGTACCAAATTGATGTCAGTTTTGGTTGCTTATAAGGTTCTTTGCACCTGTCTCCAACTCACTTCATTTCTCCCAAGAGGAGAACTTATGTATAAAAAAGAATCAGGTCATTAGCTCAACTCAAGGAATATCTCCATTCTACAGCGAGTTAGGAGAGAATTGATGAGGATTTTACATGATAATAATAAATTTAACCACTGAAAATATATCAGTTATTGGCAGCCATTGACTAGAAAATCTAGTTGGCATATTACATCTCATGATTAGAATATATTATATTTAACAATCATCCTGTATTATATTATGTTATAAATACATATTAATTAGAAAAATTAGCCATTATTTGGAAATATTCAAACTAATTTAACCATTTAAAAGAGAATCCTGTAGTTGTGCATTTTTTTTTTTACAGTGTTTCCACAAAACCACAAATTTTCTTGCCTCAGCCCCAACCATGTTGTGGCTGAGGTGATATAGAACCTCGTTCTGTTAAAGTACCTCCCCGGCCCCCCTCCCCTCTATTTTGAATTCCTGGATTTGCCACTGGATTGTTTGGGACAGTGGAAGCGGCCATATAAAAAAGAATGTTTCATTTTTGCATCCCAAATAAAGGATCTTTGGCACCAAATCTATTCTGTGCCTAAAATGCTAAAAAAACTAACTGTTCTTGCCAAGGAACCATTGTCTGTGGTGTAGTTGGTAGCTACAACTGAATACTCTAGTGGTCTCAAATATACATGGTAAAATTCTATTAGGCATTAGCCTTCATGCTCTTCTATGCAGTTTCGGTGCAAGCACCCTATTTGGAAAACTTGGCCCCCTCATCCTGCCCCATTTCCCCAGTTTTCATTCTAATTTTCAATTTAAAGCCATAAAAAGTAAGCTTAAAAATAAAATAACAAATAATTTCTGCCTAATTTAGCTCATCATAACATGCATTTTCATAGTATTTTATAATAAAAATTTATCTGGTTTAAAAATAATAAATGTAAAATAAAATTGGTATGAAAAAATAAAATAGATTTACAGTAGAAATATGAAAATATAGTTGAACGAACAAAATACAAAATACTTTTCACTAAACTTTAATAAAAAAAAAAAAAAATTAAAAATATATAATATTTTTTGTTTGACTGAATGAACTACATTTAAGTAACCTTAGCTGTATTTTGTCATGCCCATTAACCCATATTCCTATAAAATATGCAATAAAGACAAAAACAATGATGAAACATTATGGATGATGGTATAGCACTTGGTAATAAGTCTTTATTACTAGAAACGTTAGTCACTTAGTTGCATGTCATGACCTAGAATTATAGCAATTTTGTACCAGTAGTTTGTTTTTTCTTTCTAAAGATAAAGAGTCTAAAATATGGCTTAACATTAAAGTTACAGAATCAGTATGGAAAACATTTTCACATTTGAATGTTTTATTTAAAGATAACTTACATGAAATAAACTGTTCACATAAAACAAATTATTTGTTAGGTAACTCAGCACACCTTTAACATAATGAATATTTGAGCACTCGTGTCTAACAAGATACCTAATGGAATATTGCAATTACAGATGATTAAAGTCTGCTATGCATAATCAAATAACCTACTAGTGCGCTACTGGTACACTTAAAGATTGATGAAAACAAGCAATACAAAAATACCTCATTAGATCATGCACACCTTTTCCATCGATGTAATATGATTGTAGATGGCATATTTTAAGCAAGTAATTACATAGAACTGAGTCTTTATTAGTGGAGATGATGATAATTCAGCTGTACCACCTAGCAGGCATCTTAGTTCTTCACTGTGCCTGAAGGTTACTATCGTTGTGGCAATGATTAGCATCATAACTAAATACTATTATTATGTTTTTAAAACCATGTTGCCTAATGATTTGTGATTGTTAATTACAGATTAAAGTATAGATAGACATGTTATGTTGGGATTCAAAATTGAAACAAATATTGATTATAAAACAAATAATTAAAGCTACACAAAACAATAACATACTACTGTACAATACCTTTCCAGACACAATACCTTTTCAAATTTTATGATCTCACATTTGCAATTCATATATTATTCGTAAAACAATTACGAAAGCTTCGCAAGTAATTGTATTGTCTTTGTCTTTAATGTCCATCAACAACTCAATGTGTAACAATAATTTGAATAACAGACCAATAAACATGAATAATTAATTTATGCCATATTCTTCTTCATTAAGCTTCTCATCCATAATGTACAGTAACAGATACTGTTGTACACATGCATGATATTCTTTGAACAGTATCAACAGAATACTAGCGTATCCAAATAAACAAAGCACAACTTTTATGCGTTGATTGGTCGGTTTAATTATTCTGTATTTGCTCCTTGTCTCTGTAACCATGGTAATGAACGACTCGGATGACAATGACATTAAGAATACATTTTTTTCTTAAATTAAGTGGTTTTTGTTGTTATATTGCAGACTGAACTATACAGTTATTTATCATTCACAGGATCATTCATCATCGGGTTTTGATTAAGATTAGAAACAAAAATTTTTCCATTTAGGCCTACAATTAGAATATAGTAGAATAAAACAGAAAAATATAAAAAAAAAGTGTTGCCACTTTTATCTTGCTTGTGTACATACAAATTATTTCAAAAGATTTTAGTTATTTAACAAAACAAGCTCTGACATCATACTTATAAAAATGTACAGTATTAGTTTTGTATCCTTCCCTCATCAATGTAAAGAAATGGAGTTAGAAAAAAAAAGGTTTTAGTCCCATGATTATTTCAGGGATGGCGCCAGCGGGCATCCTGTAGATGTTCTGCATTTGAATTTATAGTTTTTATAAAAATGAATACCAGTGTATTATTTGTGTAGTACCTGTTTTATGGCATACACACAAACATAGATATCAACTTTTATAACTTTAGATAAAATAATATGTAGCAAAGTTTCAATACATATTGAGTAAAACAGAAATGATGGATAAAAAGCGTTGCTGGTTGCAATAACAATTTTATCATCATCTAATATTTGTTGGTTTATCCAGTTTTATCCCTGCAATGGTTGGAAATTGAGTCAGTTACCATTAATCATATCTAAATAAAGTATGGGTTTTACAACAAGATGAAGATCATGATACTGTACATATCTTCAACACTTTTGTTGGTGTAGCTGTGGTATAGTTGTCTGTAGTGGCGAATCTTGGAGTGACCTCATGGGCGAATCTAAGAGGCTTGAAATAGGGTGGTGTGATGGTGGAGGGGGGGCGTTCAATGATTAAATGAAGGTAGCAAAGTAAGGTTGTATGTGGTGAATTTTAACTACTTGAGCGTGATTTTTTTTTGCTTTAAGATTGGACATTTTCATTGGGGAGGTGCATGGGGGGAGGTGCTAGCTTTTTTTTAGGGAGTGGTATGTGTCCCCACGCATCCCCTAGATATGCCAGTGCTTGCCTGCCTTTCCTTCCAAGGTCCTAGACTCAAATCCTACAAACATGAATATTTTTTTCTCCACATATGTCCTCAGAATGGGACTTGGTTATTGAGATTCACATTGGTAGTTCTTGAAATTAGACATCATTTTAAAACAACTTGGAAGATGAACAATTATTACAATGTATATGAATGTTGATTGATGATAATGAAATAAAAACAAGGTACAGGGGCGGATCCAGAGATGTCCAAAAGGGAGGGCCGAAAGGGGGGACCGAAATTTGGGCCGATCGAGACAACAATGTCCTACGGGGTCCTGAGGCATGCCCCCGCGACATTTTTGTGTTATAGACGCCCGAAAATAACATTTGAGGCGTTCTGGGCTATAATTTTTTTCTTTTTCTTTCTTTTTTTTTTTTTACCTCCCCCCTCCCCCCTAAATTCGCCCCTGAGGTATGCTGCTGTTACCACATGCCTTTAGCCTGGTTTTTGCATTAAAATCGCCACATGTGATTGTCGACTACTTTCATTTCATTTTATTTTATTTCACAAAAAATGCAAAAATACAACATAAAATTCTTCAGAAAGGTAAATAAATAACAAGGGCAATGTAATCTAATTAAGTAATATTAACAAATTATTAAATTACAGTAAATAATAATAAGTGAAGATATAGTAATTAATAATAACAATAATTTAAAAAAATAAGTAAAAAAATAAGTAATTAAAAAAATAATAATAATAATGGTAATAGTAATAATAAAAATAATAATAATAATAATAATATTTATAGTAATAATAATGATAATAATGATGATAATAATAATAATAATAATAATAGTAAGGTTGTGTGCGGAGGACACAATAAGCCATTAAGGTTTTAAGTCTGTGCCTCTAAGTAACTTAAGCTAAGTAATATTGATAGTGAAAGAAGGCCTAAATTAATTCATCAAAACTGTAAGGTTGATTACAAGGAGAGTGTAATATTTATAAAATAAGAAATAATAGAAAAGATATTTGTAATTAAAACAAAAAGTCATGAAACAAAAATAAAAAATGCAAGTAATAATAATAATGCAAGTAATAATAAAAGGCCATAAATAATAATAACAATAGGCCGATAAAATAAATGAAAAAGTACTAACAGCATCAGAACAGAACAAAGATAATAAATAATATATGAGATAAAAGGGAGCGACCTTTATATTATTATAATATGTAATTTTGAATTAGAATGTTTTTGTATCTATGAGGACGCTGTTTGGTCAGTTGAATCAGGGAACAATCCCAGTAAAAAACTGTATTGTATGGAAACCAAGCTTATCATGAGTTAAAATAAGTAATCCTTCTCAAATGTAATTGTAACAGCCATTTCATCAACTTGCAAGAATAATGCTTATCAAAATCACCATCATCTTCATCATCCTCATCATCCTGGCAAGTCAGAAACATATCAAAGTCAGAAACATATCAGACAAACATCATAATAACAGCCAAAACAAACATCATCTCTATTTTAGATATAGTTTATTAGATGTACTGTAATAAGATTGTTAAATTAACAACAATATTAACTGGTGGCATCATATTCAAAATCTTAGTTCTAAGATAAAAATTAACAGACATTGACACAGATAATGACTTAAGATATCAGCTTTACATTTTACAACATTTTATATTTTACATTTTGTACAAAATAGCACTGGTGAAATAAGTTTCTCTACTTAAAAAACTATTGTATAAATGCACTTCATCCAACAAGCATTTAAATTTATTCTAAAAATGAGCTTAATCCAACAAGTTGTTAGAATAATCCTTGTTGATCTGTTAATATGTCGCTTATAATACAAGTTAATCCATATGCTTTATCAGATCATTTAAATTGCATTATTAATTCAGATACTGTAAGCTATATTTCCTTCATTTTGCCTTGGAAATATTTTCATTTGCCTGAATAAATAATATTAATAGGCCAGATAAAAATATATCATGTTTCTCATCAGGATTTTTTTTTAAATAGGAGGATGAAGCGTGTATGCTTTATTTTGTATAACAGTGACCACAATACTGCCATATCTAGGCTTAACCAAGGCCTACTGTAGAACACAGGTATAATAATTGCTAAATGAGGATTTTTGCATTTTTGTCGTTTTTTCATGTGTTTTGCCTTGTGTAAATTTTATAAAAAATACCCAAAAAATTGGATGCAAACAGTAAAAAGTACCATGTTTTTTATTTGGCCTTGTAGAAAAATTTTTTAATATCTTCATAATTTTCATCTTGCAACAATCATATCTAATTTCTTTAAATTCATTTCTAATACTACTCATATTGTTCATACTATGTTTTTGTAGAACACATCCATGACCCATTTTTAAAGGATCATTCCATTATCTAAGTGTATTAGAAAACACAATTATTTTTGCAGCCATAATAACAAGTAAATTTAATTCTTTCACAATGGAGATGGTTCTGTACATCATTCCCGGTATGGTGCTATCAATTTTTCTTTGTCCATCTTATGATCATTTGTTAACATCATCAGCATTATTTCTTACTGAATGCAATTTCATTGTCGGTATACTTTGTTGGAATTTGATCATTACATTTTATAACTGAATTTTGATTAATAAATTCTTAGTGCAGGTACAGTACAGTAGTTAGTATGATTGTTCTACTTAACATTATATTTTACCATTCATTCCTTGGTATCTGGGAACAGAAGATAAAATATAATTCCAACGTATTATTTGTTCCCAGGTACTTAGGCCTCGTGCCAGTGTCTTAATATACTCTTTAAATACAAAATATTTCCCTCACCAAAATTCTTAAATAATATATTACTTTATTATTATGTATCTTATTTGAAGCTGCTAAGTTCAGTAACAAACAGATGCACTGATTGATGTTTAAATATAGAACTAACGTTACTCCGAATAATGAGAGGAAGGCCATTGTTTCGGTCTTTATTGGGTCGTCTTCAGGAATGAGAATACATTGGCAGTGATTAGCATTTTTTGAAATCACTATTCAATGTTTTCTAATTCCTGAAGATGACCTAATAAAGGTCATTCGTAATTACTGCTTATTTTTGTTGAGAAATTCTATTTTAATTGAATTTATGAGGTGTTTTAAAAATTTTACCTCAGACAATGTCTTTAAGAAGGTATGGCATGTTTATGTTTTTTTGGTTTTTTGTACTGCCTTACCTGGCGACAGTTGCTTATTTATTAGGCACAATAAAAAAAAATATTAGTTTATCACCTATCACCATGTCTTCTACAGTAATAAATATAAGATGGTATTGAAAAAAAAGAACGTTTTGGTGAAAAAATTTTTTTTTAATTTGGGGGGGTTTTTTTTCATATTTTTTTATTAAATAGTAGATATTGTTTGTATTATCTCAATCATGTATTTTACTTTAAATATCAATGCACCAGCAAATAACCCTAGGGTGATTTGTCTTTAGCAAAATAAAAAATTAAAATTAAAAGCTTCTTTCCCTCATCACTTCTAGTCTAGATAGGGTGATAAACTAATATTTTTTTGTAGTGGGCGTTAGTAAATCTCCATTTCCTGTGTATTCAATGTAAAAATTTGAGATCCTCATTCTACTGTTGTATTAAAAATTATTGAGATTGAATATCATGTATTCTAGGAAAGAAAGAAATTTTGTGGATAAAAACTTACTAAATATAAATGTTAGTCTGTAAGTTACTCCCTTTCAACATTAATATTAATCTGCTTTAATGTTAATTTATTTAAGCATCACGAGGATGAATCATATAACAAATGCACTGTTTCTTCACTCACATTTTGTTTATGAATTTTTTTTTTCAATAACCTTATATTTTCCAAATTGAAAGACATTACAGTATTTATGATTTCTAAAAAATAGAATAGTTTCCAACCAGCCACATTTTTTACAGGCTGCTATAAATATTGACCTCATTAAGGCGGGGTTCATGGCTTAAAGAAATCGTTTTTAATGCAGCTTTTAAAATATTTTAATTTATGTTTCAAAAATTCTTTTGTTAAAAATTGATTAAAAATTTTAATTGTAAAATACCGTACTGTAATTTCAAAGTATTAAGGTAATGATATTTTTTTAGATGTTAAATATGATATTACAAATGTAGAGAAAACATTTATTATTTCTGAAAACTTTGTTACAATTCAGTGACTTTTTCAATTAGCTTTCTTCGTTTAGCAGTAGCTACTACATTATTTCTAAATAATGGTTTAGCAAGGGCAACCCCATAAATCTGATCACCTTCTTTCCAGTTCTCATTGTCCTCCCCACTTGCAAGACCCTGTGCATATGCTTCACTCGCATAACCAGAGGTACCAACCACTTCCGTTTCCGATTCTTCGGAATTGGAACCTTCGCTATAGTCGTACACAAAGCTCATTCGACTACCCGTCCTCTCATGTGATAATCTCCGTTCAAAAGTATCAACAATGTCTTTATTATTTTCCAAGTTGCCATTAGATTTATTAGGATTTGATTCTAGACTGTAATTACTGGCTCTGGTAAGTAAAGCCTGCACCCCCATGGCTGGCCTGTGACTACTTTTACGATGATGTGTGCTGCCTATTGATTGATTTGAGTAGCTTTCGGCTGGATGGTTGTCATTTACAACCATCTTTATAGCATGATGATTTACGCTGTGGGCTACACCAGCTGATTCTAAGCCTAATGATGAATTCCTCAGCTCATTATGTGGTAATGGAGTTGATGCAGGTTGATGCCTTGCATTGCCATGGCTGCGTCTTCTTTCATGTTTTCCTTCTCCATGTTCTGTTTTTATTTCAGTTTTCTTCTCTCGTCTTGAACTCCTTCGTTCTCCACCTTTTTCAGTTCTCATATCAGATTTTTTAACTTTTCGATCTTTGCCAATGTTTTGATGTAGCTTTTTTGAATTGTGATCAATTTCTTTCATGTTGAATTTGATTTCTTTTAATAAATTGCACATGTCATCTTCATATGTAAAAGAATTTCCTTTTCCTTTTGAGTAAATGTTACAAGATTCTGATACAGTCCTCCTTAGTTTCCTATGTCTTTCCAAATTGTTTTCATCTTTTGTTTTTTCATCTGTACTTGTTCCCATATTTTTCACTGCCTTACTTTTATTTAAATTCAAGAGTGAGCCAAAAAACTTTTCAAGTCTTTTTCCAGACTTCTTTTCATTTGTTTTACTGTCCTTTTCACGGCAGTCACTGTTATTGTCTGAGAATTCGGAATCATCTTGGAAAAGTCTGTGTATATGCGGGAAATATGGAAGATTAATTGAGCTAACATCATCTATGTTGTAATGATCGGCTGGTGTGGCATAACTCATGTTTGCACACACACCCCGGCAGGTATTACTAGTAGACAAGTCTGTCTTTGTTCGTACAGATTGTACTTTAGAACAGCTATTGTGGTTCTGGTGTGAAGTGGATGGCTGCTCAATCTGATAATATACAGGTGCTTTCCTACTTTGGTGGAGGTTGACCATGCTCGTCCAACTTTTTGGCCGTGGGGGTAAGTTTGGACCGTGCGTTTCTTCGCAAACAGTATCATTTGACCGATTGATGTCTTGCTCAACAATTTCTTCATAGATTGGATCCTCTGTGGGTAAGGTTGTCCTGAATTGACTACAAGTATTCAACGATTTTGAAAGCATCTGTATCTGTCTGTGAGGCTCATCGTAGTATTGACGGTGATGTGACGTGCAATTAGATGAGCTTGATCGCCAATGATTCTGCGAATTTGGAATCCACCGTCCAGAAGATTGTTGGCTGGCATCATTTTTGTAACCACAATGATGCATGTGGTCATTCTGTTGAAGTGTTTGCACATGCTGATGTCGTTCTACAAGCTGATTATTACGCACTGTGCTAGTCCTTTTTGGATACTTGCCAGACAACTTTTGTATGCCATTGCTATGGTAACCATGAGGAGTGTGTGACAATTCTTTCTGTTTCAGATTCTGCTGTTGTTGCTGACACCATTGTCTCCATTCTATGTCAATACATTTCCTGATTGATGCTTTACAATCATTCTGTCCTTGATTCATTCCTTTTATAGATATGTCCATTGATTGGCCAGAAGAATTATGTCTCCAGCAAGAGTCCATGGAATCGGCCAATGGGGAGTCCAGATACATTGCGGATTGATCATAATCAATGATATAATCGGGATTTGAACTGGGACGACTACCACACTGTGAACTAGGTAAGCTATGGTAACCCAGACTTGCTTGGCTATTACAAGGTGAAGGTCCTTTGTTTCTAACATCTGCTCCATTTACAGAACCAAAATCCTTCTGTGCATTGCTGAATCTCTCTCCACTCAGCTCTTCCCAACAGTGTGATTGTTGAAAGTCTTGCTGACGGTTGAAGTGGACACGTTCTAGATGACCAATTAGTTCCTGATCCAGGTTGTACTCTCTTTGTTCCATCATCTAAAAGAACAGGAAAAAAAATGGAATTGTAAAAAAAAAACCCCATACACCATAATTAATTAATTTCTAGCACATATCACACACTTGGTAATTCCATGTTTTCTAGTGTTTGAACAAGAAGATACATTTGCATGGTAAGAGTTTATTAATTTGATTGACAATGTACAATATTTGATCATCTCATTTGGTGTTTGCACTTTGCTTTTGACAGTAACCACTAGATCAATTAATCCAAATGCTTTAATAAAAATATATAAAAGCTTGTTTGACTTAAATATGTTTGCAGGTTCACTACCCACAGCATTCAAGGCTTTCCGGTGGGAAAAATAATCATTGCCTTATTGTTAAGATTTTAATACCTCATATGGAGATTACCCATAATGCAATTTGACTATATACAAGTTCATTTGTGTATGAAATTGAAATATATGCATTTTTTTAATGTTTTCCAAAGGTTTATGTTAAAAAAACTGTGTACAGTATATACTTTAAAAAAAAGGCAAAAGAATTCTTATGTTGTTAAACCTCCTAACTACCTTTAAATTTGAGCTAAAGATTGGTCCAAAATATATACTTATATTGCTTTTAGTGGAACTGTAGTTTAGTGGTAAGATGCTTGCCTTCCAACTCAAGGTCATGGGTTCAACTCCCTTGAAACACTATAATTTTTTTCTTACAACAAAAATCAACAATTCACTCCTCCACAGTATCATCATTGAAACTATAAAATATTAAAGCATGACTGGACCATGTGTTAATAGATTAGTACTGGACAGTATTTAATACACTAGTATTAAATACTGTCCAGTATTTAATACTAGTGTATTAAATACTGGACAGTATTTAATACTAGTGTATTAAATACTGGACAGTATTTAATACACTAGTATGAAATACCAGGGAGGTGCTACAGTATGTCTATATAGCACCTCCCTAAAAACAAATTATGGCAACAATCATACTAGAAAGAAGCTTTTCTATTTGCTGCTTTGACATATGGATGTAATATTAGGCAGTGACACACTATATTAAATTGATTGCTCTTAACTTGATTCAAATTAATTACAAGTTACTGGTTTAGTTAGCACAAGGTGATGAGGTTTTATAAAATAAAGTGATTAAGTCCACAAAAGAACTTGGTACCTTGATTGCTTTTCACCCTCTAATGAACTTATCAACTATACCAACTCCCCATGAAAACAAAGGCAGATTAGCTGCTTACCTCCTGGGCAGTTTAGCTAACAAGGCTCAGATTGTTTTAAGTGTTAATGTCATATAAATGTTTGTAATTTTTTTATTTTCCAGTCCAGAATTGATGTTTTTAATTTTGGACTGGGAGATTTGATTGTTGGCCAGTGTACTATCTGATTTAGGTTGTTAAATCAGAATCATTGGACAGACTGGAATCGAAGACACTTCAGAATAATTATTTTCATGCTGGATTTGTGCTCGTCTGTAAGGTGCCAACCAATGTAAGTCATGTTCACATGTCTCCATCAATCGCGAGCGGTTGAGGTGCTGGGTTGTGAGTGAGATTGTGTTAGATAAAAAAAAAATGGCCAGACTGCGTTCGCTGCCGCTTTCGAGGCGACCAGAAATAAATTTACGTCACATCCCCAATTGGTTGTAGATATGTTAGGCCTGCAATTTCTGATCTAAGCCTGGGTGGAGGTGGCATCATAAATACAGTAACATCCTCATATTTGTTAATTAACTTTTTAACAATTTAAGCTTTTTTATACTGTATCTCATACAGTGGATTATTACCATCCTATATAATTCCATTATACTGTAATACAAATATAAACTATTTAGTATTATTCAACAGATAAATCTCGTTTACTATACATTGGCAATCAACATTTGCTAAACATGTGTCATTATACTGTAATTGTACAATATTATTAATCATGTGCTAAGCATATGTTACAGTATAATGTACAACATGGTTTGCATATTACCAATAAAACAGATGTAACTCTTACTTATTGAGTTTCTTGCTGTTCAATGATAATGGTACAGTACCAAAAAAACTCCAGTTTCTTATTCATTTTTATGGGCTGCTTCCTCCTGAAATTTTAATTCCAGACAAGGCATAATATCAAGAAAATCCAACAGGAATCTAAATATGTCTTCTAAGGCTGGCCAATGCATATACAGTATTATGATTGTTTATGTGTGTTTTGGCCATGTTAATGAAAAAATAAAAGGACCTCAATCATCTGAATTTTGGGTTGTTTTTTTTATTTGAAAGACAAACAAGTTCTTCAATTTGACCATTTGGCAAGCAGAATTCTGTTTTAGCAATTATATAAATGATCTAAAATATTTATACTTTACGATGCATGCACTTTATGAATTATTCAAGAAGCAAGATAGAATATGAATTATATCAGGAAGCGTGAATTTGGTTCGGTGTCTTTATACCTTTTTTACTTACTTTACAACTCCTAAAATAATATTTATATAATCAATAACAATCATTCAAATCATGCTTGATGAGAAATGTGAAGTGAGGCGTTAATGAGCAAACGAATAGTAAACGATCAGAAAATTATCAGAATTGATTTGCGGGTGATGAAATAATTCTTGAGTATTGATCTAGATCTTGCGTTCAGTCCAAATGCAGTCCAACTAAAAAGCAATTTCACAGATGTCCAACAGACCTAGTTTTGATATTGCTGTCCAATTGCTGCCTTCATTAAAAGTTCATTAGAGAGAAGTTCAAAAGAGGTGTTATTGTTTTGTTGTAAGTATGACCATGGACATTGCTATCTATGACTTGGTTTTTTAAATCATTTTTAGTCCATTATTAATACATTCATTCTCTTTCTTATAATAATCCTCTCACAGTACTGTATTATAATTTAAATACATTATCTTGTTTTTTTGCCATTTTTTAAGCACCTTAACTATTGTTTGCATTATAACCTTTCAGCCTCCATCTTTTTATTACCTTCACAATTTTTGTTGTCTTCATTTTTGCTGAAATTGTAAGGCTCACATACAATTTAGCTTCCAAGCCACAACATGTGAGCGCTTTTTATGTTGATGTTTTTTTTATATGAATAAAGTGAAATGAATAAATGAATGAATGAATCCAAAATATGCAGAAAATTATTTGAAACCCAAATATAATGCACGGTAACTAATAAGTAAGTTTGTTTGCAATCTTTATTTTTCGCACATCACAAACATGAAAGATGCAAGAATACCAAAAAATTATATTTGAAGGCAGAGTCCATGGAAAACTGATGAGGCTCCTTTTCTTCTTACCCCTCCTGTCTAAAGATCCTCCCTTCACCAAATTTGGCCATACTGTGTATCTAAGCCTACTGTATTCCCCAGACACCAACATACAGTACACTACTGTCATTGATTAGGAGAATGCATTCAATTCTGCAGGAAATTCTTGGTGTTTTCGCCTTTTAAATGTTAAAAAAAACAAAAAGTAGAGGGGTGGCTTCACAAAAGGGTGCAGTACTGTACTACTACAGAAGGAAACGACAAACATACTTTTTAAATTTGTCCTAAATAAATAAATATACTGCATGCTTGAATAACATAAACTCCTGTAATTCCACTTTAATTTTCAAACACAGGACTGTTTTCTTATCAGTGTTAATTCACCATCTCCGAGTCCCAGTGTGAGGCACTTCGCGTCGTTGCCGGTTCATTAACTTTTCACTAAACCAGTGTTATAATCAACCCGGCATTGTCAAGTTAAGAAAGCTATCTAGCATTGTCTGTGAAATTAGAGCTGAAGAAAAGTGTCGTATTTATGAGGTGGTGTTTGATAATTTTCCATTCATCAATCATGCACTCATACCCAACAACCAAATATGTATCGCAAATTGATCATGTGGAATAATTTGCTATAAAGAAGCTTTTTTTCTGATCGTAGGAAGTGAGGATAATTTATGAAAGCGTTCTTTTGTGGTGAGTGCCTTTAAGATCATCAAAGGAACCTGACAATTTGATTACTCCTGCAGATCCACAATGCAGGAGTCTTCCTGAGTGTAGTTTTGACCACAAAGACAAGCCTGTTAATCAGAAAGCTACAAGCCTACTGCTGAGTAAGTGTTTTCATAAGACATCAAGTAATTTCACACATGCGTTCCCTCTGGTTACCACGTTTTTTAAGACATACAAATAAAACTGTTGTAGACTTATTTTATTTTTTATTATTACAAACCCAACAGCAAAGTACACTCTAAAAATTAGAGATATGCACTTTTATAAACTAATAAAATTGAGTAAAGTTAATATCATTTACATCTACATGACACCATAAATCATAAATTGTTTTATATTTTAACATGACTTGACAATATATTTTCATTTGTATGTATTTGTTTTGCAAAAAGTGTGTATGTTTGGTAAAGCACTGAAAAATAATGTTATCTTAGTTAGAGGAAATGCATGTACATTTTTAAAGTATTTATATGGAAAGGGATACATTTATACCCGATTCACACGTACAAAAATCTTACCAAATGTAACAAAATGTAACCAAAAGTAACATTTTACGGCACGTGTGAAAGTACCTCCGTGTAATATCCTTGTAAAATCTTGGAGCGTCTCGGTAATCTTTACCAGCCTCGCTGAGGCTGGTAAAGCTTCCGAGATGTAACATGGATGGATCTGCGCATGCGCAGGGATTTCAACACGACAACACGGGGTTCTTTGAATTTTCTTCATTCTGCATACGATTCTGATCCACTAGAAATAGATAGGACTAGTTTTTCTCAATGATGTATGAATTAACCTTGTTATTGATGTTAATTAGTAATGGTAGAAGAAGAAGATATACATAAAATGAACGTCGGGATGGTGTTAGTAACTATTACTAGTATTTAAAAGAGTCGACAGAAACGTTGGAAGCTATGCCTAGTTTAGTAGTAATAGTACAGCAGTTGTTAAGGGTATTGATTGCTTCGAATGTTTACTGTGATGGTGAGTTCAACAGTCCATCTGTGACAGGGGTTCGCAACTAGGCC